TGAGAGCCTACCTTAGATAGATTTTGGGGTCGTAGGGCCTACCTAAGAACACATCTTAGGGCCACAGGGCCTACCCGGGAATGATCTCAGGGCCGTAGAGCCTACCTAAGAGTCACATTAGGTCCATAAAAATTTTCCAGCTTGATCAGAGCTGTACTTTACAAATCTGTATCTCCAAGATACAATTTATATAATGATACAAATCCATAAGCCATCACCGTTAAGTCGGTGCATCCATAAAACAGTAACCATAGATTTCAGTGTACCACATGTTAAAATAATAAAATAATTTTTCAAAATATAAGGAACACACTAGAGAATCCAAATATTTCCAGATGCATTTTGTAGTTATCAATATGGATAGCATGAACTTGTGCAATTTGATCGGATTCTAGGAATAAGATTTTATTGAAGAGAATCGATTTCTAACCGATCTAATCAGACATTTCAGATTGATACTTTAGAATTCCACTAGGTTTTCATGTGCATCAGGAAAACGTTCAGGAACCTTTATACATAATAATTCTAAATTCAGATTTACTGCGAGTGATTCAATTACCCAAACAATCAAAGGTATTCAGGAATATACTTTGAATTCATAGGATTTCAGCCCAATTGAACCAAATGAGGTATTCAGAATCTTTTCCTTCTACGTTACTTGCATTTTCAAACATGACCGAAGTGATTTTAGATGAAAATATAGAATCGAAGATTCAAGTCATTTACAATCTATGACTATCGATCGTATTATCAAACAACTAGAGTTACACAACTCCCAAACTGATGCATGTCAACAAGTTAATTCATTATTCTTCCAGTCTATTCACTCTTTAATACCATAATGCAAATCCATAGATCATCCCCATAATCATCGCTGAATAGATCTTCCAACGGTCTTTATTTTATTTTCACGTTTTAACGATATCAGGAAATACAAACGTACTTGATTCATGGTTAATAACCCATAAGGACAATTCACCATATAAGTTCAACAGTATTTCCAAACTCGTCCAATCACCTAATTAATCATCAGTCATTGAGGTTACTTAGTTCGTTTAGTAAGCAAGTCTATCCCGATTACTTTAGAGTTTTCCAGAATAATTCAGACGTTTATGAATTTCAAATACATGTTGTACTTCCTTTCAGTTCAATTTAGTCATATAATAAAGTCATTATGGTATTTGTAGTTGATTTGTCTCACGAATACCCACTTATTACTACTGTATGCACTCTAGAGTTGAGCTAAGCCAAGTACTTCCAGAATTATCATCGATCCAAATTTGAGAAGGCGAACAAACATTCAAGTGATATCTATATCATTCAGGTAATGATATAGCACTAGCGTTGGTTGATCACTTAAGTTGTGTTCCATAACTTTTACTGGTAGCACAATATCCATGTTTATTTGGATTTCTTAATTAATCCAAGAAATTTACTTATTCTAGGTCATAAGGGTATTTTGGTCATTTTGGTGCTCAGTTTTATTCCATTCATTTCAGAGCTCAAGGGTATCCAATCATTCCTGAGCTTGGTGAAATTCTTGGTCATTTACATTCTAGGGATATTATGTTCATTATACATATACATGTATTACAATCATTTCCTTCCGTCCGATCTTATCATCGAATTCAAACTTATCATTTATTTCAGTCATTTCGAACAATTCCGACAAAATATCACCATCGATAAATTATTATTTTTCATGAACTTACTTAAGTCGGAGATTTCTAGGTTAAATGCCTTTTCAGATGATAATAACGGATTATCAGGAATTTTCCATACAAAAATAAGATCTCAACAATCAAATCAGTAATTTATCGGTTTAAAAACAAGTTCTCATGTTACTTCCTCCTTCAGAGTCAACTTGGACTATTTTTACCTCTCAAGGGAATTTTCATAATTTCTTAACCAGATAATTTCGGTATTAACTCTTAACGAAAATAATTATACTTTAGAAATCCAATGGTTAATTGCTTTCCCGAGCATTCTTTGATCTCGAAATGATTCCTTAACAGACTTATAGTATTTTGCACAAACTCTTTTGGGGTTAAAAACCAGTTATCCAAATTTTCTAAGCAAAACTAACATTTCTTTTGCACATTTGTAATTTTATCGGATCAATATGTCTTTTCAAAGTTATTAACCAACTTTCAGGAACAATTATTGTCATCTTACAACATAATGATATTTTTGTAATTTTACCCTACCGAAGTATTCTCATAATTTCCCATCCAAGTACCTTTAACATTTAATCTTTGATTATAAGCTACAAATCCATGATAATACATTTATCACTAATCACAGAACTCATAATTTAATTCTAACAATCCATCCATTTCTTATATCAGTCATCTAAACCATATTCATTTACCGAATTTTTACTGTATTCGAATCGTGTGTAAAACTTCATTAATTACACATATGAGACCAAACATTTCCATTCGTGTATTTACCAATACTAACATGTTTCATAAAGCATGAAAAGGTAGTAATGTATTACCTCGATTTTCGTGTAATACTGATCGACCATAAAAATTCCATTCGAACGCCTTTGATCTTCAATTCAACTTCCAATAATTCCTCAGATACATATCAACATAAATTATATAAAAAACGGAGCTTAATTGAGATAAACGGATCGAATCGGATGATAAATCAGTTAAAACCAACTTACCGGTTTTGAATTTGGCGAAACGGACTTCGTATTCGGATTCAGGACGTCGAAAGCATAAAATATGATAAATCAGTTAAAACAGATCGAATCGGATGATAAATCAGTTAAAACCTCCTCACGCGCCGCCGTCGACGGAGACCAAGGATGACACCGGTGGACTCGGAACGATGCAAGGAACACGATGGTGCGGGAGGTGTCGTAAACGGATGACCCGATCATCGTGAATCGGTGAAAAACCAACTAAGATCGAGTTATTTCCGATGGTACTTCCGACTGAAATTAACGACGAACAATGACGATTCACGACGAAAGGTTTGAGGGGTTTTGTTCTTTGGTCGACAACGAACACGATGGTGGTTTCGGTTCGTCGATCGGAGGTCGGACGACGAGTAGATCGGAGTTGAAAGAGGGGTTGACGGGAGAAGGAATGGGTTTATATCATCTCATAAATAAAAATGATTAAACCAAGAGTTTAGCCACTGAACTTTCTGCACTTCATAAAACAATCTGTCAACTTTAAAATTTTACAATTTAACCAACTGTTTCTTTCAAAATACCAATTAAATCCACCACTTTATAATTTCTTAATTTTAGCCCCTAAATTAGGGTGTTACACAGGATCCATGATCAAAGGCATAATTTGAGATTTAAATACTCAATCAATGGACATAGTTTATTCTCTATATTAGATGTCCCGAATGAGTGTTTTAACTTAAAATTCTGAAGAAAAAGAACAGTTAGTAACAAAAAATGGAAAAGCACAGTTTCCTAGTATCATTTCAACAAAGAGAAAGAAAAGATAGAGAAAACGGTACTGACATGAGAAATGGCAACAGATGGAAGTGTCATATCAGAGAGTTTTCAAATTTGTTTACTCATTATTGGTTCATACATATAACAGTGTGGATCATTCATGTCCTTCAAACTCTTATCCATCCATTATTTAGAGGGATCCCTAACATAGGATTGATGATCAAAGGCATAATTAGAGATTTAAATACTTAATCCATGGACATAATTTATATTCTATATTAGAAGTCCAAAATGAGTGTCTTGATTGAAAACCAAAAGTTTATTATTCTACTTTTTCACATCATCTTAATTTCGAATCCAAAATGGAATCATTCTTCCTCTTCCCACATATTTAGCCATCTTTAGGCTTCCTACATTTTACGAGGGCATCATTTATTGTACTACCATTGGTCTTGTAAAGCATTCATTTTCCAAATTTTCACTAGCAATTTCTTGTGCATAAATAGAGATGGAGCAAGTAAAGCTAATTTTGTAAAGTTAACAAAGCATTTGAAATATATCTATGGTTTGAGGGAGTGTTAAACTATTATCACTCCTTACTTTCAATTGAATTTTAAGTTATGCTGTTTTACTTTTACTAATTAGAATAGTTTAATCAATCAATAGATTCTTGATACTATAAGTAACATTAAAAGAAGTGCACAATCTATAAACTGATTGCTAGAGTTAATAACTTTCATAGAATTTTGTGGTGCTAAAATAACTAGTTAATAGTACCATTTTTCTTAAAATGTCCTATTCTCAGTTCAACCAGCTGGATCAGTCTATTCAACATGATTAGTATTTGATATAATTGTTAAGCATCCAACCTAAAACCAGTTGGTAATAGGTGGAGGGGACCAACCTCAACATAAAACCACAAGAAACCTAATATTTAACATATGTGGAACAACTCCACTTAACACTCCTCAATAATCGCCATTGCAACTGAACCCATTACGAGGACAATCTTTAGGGCAAAAGAAGAAACATATAATTACCAAAATTCTATTGATTAACAAAATAAACAACAGTAGTAGGGTTCCTCATTCTTGTGAGAGGTTTGCTAATATCTTCAGTGTCACCACACCTAATTGTAAGTTATTCGTCTATAACTAGAGAATTTTTAATCTTTAAGGGAGATAGTCCCTAAAGCATAATAACTATCCTCAAAAGAAACCACAATTTACCAAAAGAATTGAATTAGCGATATTAGCATTTATGACATATAATTATGGTGGTTAATGGCTTTTTTCCGTATTTTAATTTTCCAACAAGACTTAAAATAAAAATCGCATGATTATAATTTGAAACTACAGAACAATGTTCCATATAACCTATCCGAGTGTGGACCCAACGTTACCCAAAATAGAGTTACTGAGAAATATATGAACACAGATAAATGAGCCCAGGAGAAAAAAAATACCACAATGGTTTTTGAAACAAATTAATTTTCCGCTAGAAAAACAAGAAATATGAAACTTAAGAAGCACAATGTACAAAAGTTTAGCTTGGGAAGAAGCCAATAAAGAACCTGAGAATAATTTTGAATTGCTTTGTTGAAGTCCCCGTGGTAAGCATGCACAACTTCATCTACAACTTCACTTTGTTCCTTCAAAATCTGGAGCTCACCTTCACGATCTTTTGATGTCAGGATACGGACAACACGAGGAAGTGAATCAAAACGTGCAGCTGCCCGACTCTCATCTATTCTTGAAAGTTCATCCCTTAAATTCCTCCTTCCAATGTACATTGGGTTACTTATGTAGCGTGACGGTTATGAAGGGGTTTTTTTAATGAGACCCTTTTTCTTATCAAAAAAAAAGTTCATACCTTAAATGCTGCATTTAATCATATGCAATCCGAAGAAGAACCTTGAGAAAAATCCTAAATCATGCAAGGTAACCTAAGAACCATTCTTGAAGGTTCATCCCTTAAATACTGCATTTAACCATAAACAATCGGGAGAAGAACCTTGAGAAAAATCCTAAAAACATGTTTTTTTAATAGCTTAAAAACATGTAAGGTAATCTCAGAAATGCATCATTATGTTCTACCAAGTTTATTAAATTGTTCACCGGAACAGGTGCTTGATAACATTAAATCAAGTTGCCTACCAATCAACAAAATCATACCATCCGAGTAAAGCATCCTATTTTAAACCATAGTAACAATCAGAATATTATTCCAACTCCACTCAACCAGCCTCAAGATGATTGCCAAATTTTGCAATAATCATGACACATTTTTGCTGTTGCTTTTATTACTTACTTTTTACTTCTATACACAGAAAAGAAGGTTGTTTGAATACAAAAAGAATAATACTTTCATGAATAATTAAATATTTTATTATTATTATATTTTTCCCTGAGAACAAAGCACGTGAAATTTACATGTATATAGTTTGAATTAGTGTTAGATTTAAGTCTTTTATTAATGGTTAACCAGTCGCAATTCCTGTTCTCGACAATCTTTTACAAGCAATGGCAAAAACAATGGAATAAAGCAACAACCTATGCCGCTATGCGGCTCCAACTCTGAACGTCTTTGAATTCATTTTCTGAAGTTATGGGTTCGACACATATTCATGTATGGGGATAAAAACACGGTTCCCCAAACATCTACAAAAAGCATGAAAAACATAGAAAAAATGGAACACGTGTCAGATATATAACTGTATTCGACACTCGATCCAGAGTTCAAGTAACATAGGCAACAACTAAATATACCATAAAAAATTAGGACCAGAAGAAGAGTGAATTGAACTTACTTCTTTATCTGGAGGAATGGGAAATCCATCAAACATTCCCATCGCGAAGAGCCTTTCACTTCTCCCACGCTAAAAACCTGAAAAACAGTAACTCAACTAGTTGCAACAAAGCCTTTAATCCACCTGAAAGGGAAACTCCAGGAAAAAAAATAAAAAAGTAAACATTTTATTCACTACGTTCTTAGAGCTCAGTGCCGGTAAGGAGAACAGTTGAGATGAATGTTTACACTAATAATAACAGTAAGGAATTACTAAAATATATATATACACACACGTCACAATTCTCTTTTCAATCAAGCTATCGTGCTTTTACCCGTACTCTTTTCAATTTAATATGAAGACGACATACACTGATCTTTTTAATTTGCTCTATACAATCGTAGGGGATTTTTTATTTACCTTATATAGTTATGGAATCTTCATATATAATTTGAAGACACATAAAACACATTATATTTAGATTGATACTGTTTCTTTAGAAAATAATTTCCGAGATGAATTATATTAAAAATAAAAAAAAATCAATTACATTATCTCAGTAATTTTACCGCTTTTACCGGGTAAATATAAAAAATGAATAAAATCCAAAAATCGAGAGGAACGCGTTCAGATCCAGCACGCAGGACACCAGAACGTATGAAATTTCAAGCAAAGCGAAGTTTGATTAAATCACCAAATAAAAAAAGAAATTGAAAAGAAAATTGAATTTTCAACATGGAAAATTATGTGATTCAGAGAATTAAACAGATCAAATCATTTTCTGGACTAAATAAAATCTCTAAAGCCATGAAGAACAAGAAAAAGAAGATAACTGAAACCGTGAATCAGTGAACGAAAAACGAAGGTAAAGTGAGCTTTCATCTCTTCCAGGCTACCTACAAAGAGCTGTCCTTCCGAAGCACGTGTCACATTTGATACGCCGAGCTCGCGTAAAATTCAGACCCCTTCAATTGCAGAAGAAGAAGAAGAAATGTCAATTTATTAGACCAATAAGAAAATTAGGAGAAACAAAGGAGAAGGAGATCAACTTTTTATTAGAGCAATATTCGTAGGTAAACTACAAATTTAATCATCTTTGTTTTATTGTTTATAGTTTTGATCAATAATTTTGAAATATGTATGATTCAATCACTTAATTCTTTTATTTATTATATTTTAGTCATTGAGTCTAACTTCTGTTACATGTGATACATTAATTAATATAACGACCCAAATTTTGGATCAATGTTAATGTGATGACTTGAGTCTCGAAAATCATTGATGCAGTTTTTGGCGTTCGAACTTATGATTTCTAAGAAGAATAATGATTTCTTTAATCATTGAGTAAGTTGGTTCGTACATCATAGATTTAGGTTTCGTTTGAACTTGTATGATTAGTACTATAAATAAGACGAAATAGATCACAAGCTACTTGATATCAATTTAATCAAAGTTCAGTTAACATTTGATTCGAGCTCGACTCAAATTTTAACGAGTCGGAACAAGTTACTTGATATTCGATTCGTAAAACTCACGAACAACTTGAAAAAAATAGTAATATAATAATTTTTTAAGTTTTTTATTGAAGTATTAATGATATTAACATTTTACATGTTGTTTTTAAATATAATATATGTAACAATTTCGTGTACTCCAAGATTTAGATTCGTGTTCGAGTTGAGCTTCAATTTTTTATTTAGAGTGAAGCTTGAAAATTTTAAGCTATTGAGTTTTCGAGTCAAATTGACCTTCAATTTTTTATTTTAAATTCAAAATCAACTTGATAATTTTAAATTCATAAATTTTTAAGTCAATTTAGTTTTAAGATTTTTAAGTCGAGTCAATCTCAGCAACACTAAATTCGTTGACACCCTTGTGACTTCTTAGATGAGAGATTAAACCTATTAGAGTGTGTTGGTAATGCTCAATCCCACATAGTATTGGAAACACTATTGGGAATGAGTATTTATAGTATGGAATTCTCACTTCCTTGTTGAGTGAAAGAGAACAAGGGGGACTCTCGTGCATTGCCGCCGCCGCCGTCCGGCTCGGCTCGGCTCGTGGTTGTGGTAATACGTGTCAAAAGAGAAAATTCTTGAGGAATTTCTCTTTGAAAGAAATAAATGGAAAAATGTGATGTATCTGGACTGATTTCCAGCTTTGTACAAATGAGACAAGCTGTTAATATCAGGAGTTACAGGAGTTATTTGATTTAATTCCATGGGTTACATGATATAATTTCGGGAGTTATAACAGCTGAACAATGATGCAATGAACCTGGACTATTTTTGAGTCAGATTCATCTATACGTTTCAACTGTTACAAAAGAAAAGATTTAATCCTGAAATTTTATAGACAATTTTAACCCTATTTCTAGCCTATAAATAGAGGGCTATATTCAGCTTCTCAACTTACTCTCAACATTCACAATTCACTGTCAAAGTGTTTTCTACAATTATTCTTTTTGTTCTTCCCGATAAGAAGAGAAATACCACCGGCAGTCCACTCCGATTTCGGATGTACGAAATTCGGAGCGACCGTGTTAACCTCGAGGGACGGTCCGCCTACTGCAGCGATTACACACATCGGGGCGAATTCGTTTCTAAGGCAGTGGTTATACCACGATACGATTTACGAATTTGTTCCTTTTAATTACTGTTTATATTTCCAGTCAGTGCTAACGGTGTAGTTTTACAGTTCATATATCTATAAGAGTGAATGCAAATGATATTATAACTATTTTTTTTTCTTTTCCATGTCCTTTCACCATAAATAATAGAGAAAATAACCTCAGTGACCAAAAATCCCATATAATATACGATTTTAACCAACTTTTTCCGGATTTGCCAAAATGACCAACAAAATCGCAATGCGATCGCTAATTCGTAACGCGATCTCCATTATCGCAAATTCGCGTTGCATTTTCGCAATGCAATAGTTGAAAATCGCGTTGCGATGGTCTACAGTATCGTTGCGATGGTCTACAGTATCGTTGCGATTTTCCCAATTCGCAATGCGAATAAGTAAATCGCAACGCGAATTGGGAAAATCGCAATGCGAATAAGTAAATTGCAACGCGAAAATAAGTAAATCGCAATGCGAATTGGGAAAATCGCAATGCGATACTGACTATCGCAATGCGATAATAAAAAATCGCAACGAGATACTTACTTTCGCAACGCGATACTGACTTTCGCAACGCGATAATACATAATCGCAATGCGATTTTCAAAGCGCCATTAGTATCCTGGCCAAGTATTTTATTTTTAAATTCCAAACATGAATATTAATATATTGGAACACTGAACTGTCCACAGTATATCCCGTAATCGCAACTCATAACCTAAAACCTAAAATCACAACTCAGTCCCATCTCCATCTCTCACTCTCTCACCCATCTCCGACGAAATCCGTCCCCATCTCCGGCGAAATCCGTCTATCTAAATCTCTCAGAGCCACCCTCACAATCAGAAATGGAAAATCAACCAAATCAACCAACGAGGGTTAGTTTTTTTAATTATTTTCTTTTTGAAATTTTTGCATTATTATTAGGTTTTTCATATTGAAATTGATGATAAGTTTACTGGTAATTTCAATAATAGATTAATCATTTCACTTAGATTGCTTATTAAATCAACCAAGAATCGTAACGCGAAATGCAAATCGCAACGCGATTTTAGTTTCGCGTTGCGATTCTCTCGTTGCGATAGTCATTTTCGTGTTGCGATTTTCATTTTCAGAAACTATTCTGCTTCTGCAAATTGAAACTTGAATGAATTGCATTACTTCAACCAAAAAACAAAGACAAATACGAAATTCACAGTGTTGCATATTTAAGTTTGAAGAATAAACTACTACTATTTATGTTTATTATTGTTTTTGGTATATCTTCACAGTGTAGTTTTTGGTATATCTAATTTAGTATGTTTATTGTTTTTGTAGAACTTTTATTCGGCTCAATTGACCTTAAGAAATAAAGTCAGCCTGGCCAAAACAATTGCGTCGAAGCTTTCACCTGCACAAAGAAAAATGTTTGAGGATACATGCTTCGGGCCATGGCTGAAAGTATAACATCCCGGTGGAGATGCGATGTTGACACACCTGTTTCTTCAAACCATGACTAGCGATCTACCAGAGACTATACAACGTCGTGATGAAGAGATATGGTTTGATTTTCCACCGGCGTATACGTGTTTTGGGCGGGAGGAGTTTTGCTTAATCACCGGTCTACGCTTCGGACACGATGATGTAGGTCGGTACACTAGACACATTACCCGCCCATCATGGCTATCCCGGGTTTTTCCTGAGCTGGAGAGGCCGAGTCTACACGTAGAAGACCTGACAAGATTTTTCAATAATAAAGATGGTTTTACTCGGATAGATGACGTCGACGTTGTCCGAGTATGCCTTCTAATTCTTTTGCATGCCGGCTTTTTAGGCAGAGAGGCCAGACAACCTATTCCAAATGATCTAATCAAATTGGTAGAAGACCTAAATGCGTGGAACCTGTTTCCGTGGGGCTCGTATTTATGGAAAGATACATGGAATAAGTTATCGTCTGCCTTGGATGATCGAAAAAGTTTGCATGGCGATGGTTCCAAATACACTTTGACAGGCTTTATTTGGGCCTTTAAGGTAAGAATTTTGATATGATGTTTCCAAAATTATAAGTAATTATTTAACAATTACTAATGTTTGTTATTATATTGTTTGTAGATTTGGATATTTGAGGCCTTTCCCGCCATGAAGACATATGCAATAAAAACTTCAAATGATATTCCCAGGGCTATTTCCTGGAAGAGGAAACGGACCTTGCAATGGGAAGATTTACTACGGTATACGACAATAAATAATGTAAGTTAACATAATACTACCATATGTTTATAAACAAGTTATTACTAGTACACGTTTAACTTTGTTTGAGCTTTTATATTGTTAGGAGGCCAACACTCCTCTACAGAGGCTGACACCCACGGAAGCTGAGCTTGCCACTGATTGGTGGCAAGCTAGTAAGCGTTTTTTTGATGGAACGGTTGATGAGCAGCCTCCACTTCGGGAGCCATCACCTCGCCCAGAGCTATCACCTCACCCAGAGCCATCATCTGATCGACCCGGCTATACACCTCCACAACGACAGCCATCACCTATTATGTCACATCATCGAGCCTCTTCTCCACCATCACCGCAAGATAGGCGACCGGCAAAGATGCCATGACGTTTATCTCCCTGTTCTCCACCTCCACCTCAACGGGATGAGTTAGGGGAGTTACGTGATGAGGTCAATGCCTTGCGTGAGGAGGTCGGTACTTTACGCAAAGACGATGGTGCATGGCGTGTTGAGGTGTCTACATTACGCGGTGAGGTAGCCGCTCTACGTGAGATGGTAGCATCGTTGCAGAATGAGGTTCATACTCTACGCAACGAGGTAAGTTTAAGATTTTTCATACTCGTAATTCATTCGGTTGCTGCCAATACTGCTAAACTGTTTTTGTTAGTATTTGTTTTTGGTTTTGTTTTTGTCTTTTGGTTGAAGTAATGCAATCCATTCAAGTTTCAATTTGCAGAAGAAGAATAGTTTACTTTCGCAACACGAAAATGACTATCGCAACGCGGAAATGGCTATCGCAATGCGAAATGAAAATCGCAACGACAAAATCGCAATGCGAAATGAAATCGCAACGACAAAATCGCAACGCGAAATGAAAATCGCAATGCGATTTGTGTTTCGCGTTGCGATTTTGTCGTTGTGATTTTCATTTCGCATTGCGATAGCCATTTCCGCGTTGCGATAGTCATTTCGCGTTGCGATTTTAAGTTTCGTGTTGCGAAAGTAAACTATTCTTCTTCTGGAATGTTTATATATGTTGTCCTTTTAAATGTTTATATAAGTGCTTACTTCTGGAATGTTATCTGAGTATTTTGTGAACTATGATAGAATAATGATTTGGGTGAATACAATGCTAGTTTGAAACATATTTGTCTTTGTTTAATATC